GGGTTAAACGCTTTTTTTGATTTTAATAATAAAAAAATACTTTCCTTTAAAGTAAAAACTTTTAAAAACCCCCATTCATGTCAAGGATGGGGTACTTTTTTGTTTCAGATAGAGAGAAATTTGGATCTTAAAGTCCAGTCATTAACAAGTTTGATCTTAACTAGGATTTAGGGTTTGTTGTAGGGGGGGGCCTTTTTAAAACTTCATTGAGGGGGTTTTCCCTTTCCCCCTCCTTGTGTGGGGAGTCCCAAATTTTAAAATGTTTCATTTTGATAATTCTAGTCTTGGAATTTTAAATTAAATATTTTCATAAGCTAGTTTTTAAAAACGAGGAAACATGTAAAAGTAAATTTTCTTAAAATTTTAGTGTAAATCCATGCAAACAAAGTTTTTTATGACGGTTTGGGAAATTTTATTGGGTTTAAAAGCTTTTTTTTTTATTGTAATTTTAAAAAATTGTGGGGTAAATTCTTCCCCCTTTTACAGGTGTGTGGGGTATAGCAATGTAATGTCCATATTGGGTTTTTCCCTTTTACTTTTATTTTTTTGTGTTTTGTTTTGTTATGGGACACCAACTTCTTTGGGAAAATTTCAATTTAAGGGTTTTAAAGAAAGGTTTGGGTTTTTAACCCTAATTTTTTAGGGGACTTTAAAGGGATTTCTTTTAAAAGGGCATTTTAATATTTTTGTCTGCACGGGTTATTAATTATTGTAAAAGGGGGGGTTTTGTAGGGCATTTTTGTTGGATTTTGTAATTGGGGGGTAATATGGCTAACAGCATAGTGTTATTTGAAGTTCTGGGTTTTGTGATAGAGGAATTTTTTAATATCCCGAAAAGTTTTCTTTTTTTTAAACCCCTTATACATTCTTGTATTTGTTGTAAGTAAAGAAATGGGAATGAACGGGTTTTATGAGAATGTTTTTTTGTATATAAACTTTTTATGTACAATGTAAATAAGTGTGACATTCTTTTTTATTTTAGCCTTTGTTTTTTGAAAACGGTTTGTTTTTTTTATGGAAAATAATAAACCCCCCTGAATGTTCAGGTTTTGGGGTTTTCCTTAAAGGGGAGTCACATGGTTCGGGGATTTTTTGGGGGGTATCAAACAATTTTTAAATTGAACGTGTTTTTTTTTAAGTATAAGTTTAGTGCTGGGTAGGGGGAAAGTGGGGTTTGTTTTGGGTTTTTGTATTTAATGGTTAAAAATTTCTTTTGTTTATGTGACGTATGTATAGCATAATGTAATAATGTGTATTGTGGGTTTTTTTTTTTTTTTTAAAAAAAATATAAAAAAAAAAAAAATTTCCCGCCTATTGATACAGCTAAAAGAATAAAGGGCTTCTCAACCTTAGGAACAAATTCGCCAGTAAAATTTCAGAAAAAAATCCCAGGGGTGAAAAGATGGAGCCCACCCAACATCCCTTATCTTGGGGAACCCGCCGAGCCCATGAAAGCCACCCTGGGAATTTTTAATTTTCTTTAAAAAAAAAAAACAGGAAAAAAACAGCCATGTCCCCAATTTTTTCCACCCCATAGCCCCCGCCCCAAAAACTCTTTAAAAAATTTTTAAAAAAAACAAAAAAATTCGGTTTCCCCCTCACCCGCCAAAAACAAATTCCCCTTTTTAACCAAAAACTCCAGAAAAAACCCAAAAACTAGGTTTTTTTCCCCAAATCCCAAAAGGCCGTTTTTTACCCCAAAACAAAACCCAAATGACCCAATTTTTAAAATGCCATTACCAATCCAAAAAAAAATTTCCCCGGGAAAATCTTTTTCACCAAAGAAAACCCCCTTTTCATAACCAAAAAAAAAGGATACTTCAAACCCCCCCCCAATAAGGGCTTCCTTGAAAAAAAGGAAAAAGGCCCATTAAAAAAAATGGGAGGCCTTGGAACGCCCTCAATAAAAATTTAAACCCCCCAAACCCTTTTTTAAATTTTGGGCCCCCAAAAAACCTTAGATACCGGTAGACACAAATTAGCTTCCAACCCCAACTTGCCCCATTAAACATAATTGTTTAAAAAAACCAAAATTTTGCATTACTTAAAAAACCCCCGCAAACCTTTAATGGGGAACAGGGCAAGGTTTAGGCCCCCCCCTTTTTCCTTTTTAAAAATTAATACCCTTTTTGCAACAAATAAGGAAAAACCCTTACTCTTAAAACAAAAGAAAACAACCCCATTATCCCCAAAAAAAAAACCCTAAAAATTTTCCTCCAAATTTAAATATTTATTTTGAAAACACCTTTCTTAAAACAAGGATTACTTTTGGGGAAAAAACCAACAAATTTTCAAAAACCAAAACAATAATTGTTTGGCGGCAAAGTTTTTTTCCAACTTTTAAGCTTAACCCTAAAACCCCTTTAAAGTTTAAAACAATTTAAAAAGTAAAATTCCTGGGTCCAACCCCCTTCACAAGTTTTAACCTTAAATTCCCAACCATTTTCCCAAAAACAACAAAAAAAAAACCACAAAACCCCGGGGTTTTTACATCCAAAAAAAATTTTTTTTGACCCAAAACCCCTACTTACAAAAATTAAACCCGTTAATTTTAAAAAAAATTTTAGAAATTTCCCGAACAATTTTGTTTTGGCAAAAGGACCAATTTCAATAATTACATTTCCAATTTCCTTCTTCCCAAGTTTGTAAAAGGGCCCCTTAAAATCCCGCCGAAATTTTACCGGCCACGAAATTGCCAGAAAAAACAAAAAGTTCACCCTTTTTTTTCCCTTTACCTTAAATATTAAAACTATTTAAAAATTTTTTCAATTTTGGCCTAAATTTTCCCGGGCTTCCACAACGCAAACCCCCCAAACCCTTTAAATTTCCCCAAAATTTTAAAGGCCCAAAAAGTTTTAGTTTCTTTTTATTATTAACTCCCAAAAACAACTCCCAAACCCCCTTTTTAAAGGGGGGCCCAAACCCCTCACTATTTAAAAATTCCCTTCACCCCTTTTACAATTTTTTCCCAAACCACAAATCGAAAAAAAATAATAAAATTCCCCCAAGGGAATAAATTCATGGAAAATTCAAACAGGGGAAAAATTTAAAACCTTGGTTTAAAACTTTCCCAAACAAGGGAAAAAATGGGCCCGAACTAACCTTCGCCGGGGAAAATTTGGGAAAATGATTAAAAGCTTTTTAAAATTCCGTTCCCTTTTTTTTAAAATACCCCCATTAATTTAAAAAAGAACAAACAAAAAATCCTCCCAAGGGGGGCCGGCTTAAAACAAATTTTAAACTTCTGGGGTTTTTTGGAAAACCCCCAAACCCTTTTTTTTAATTTTTAATTTTAAAAACCATAAGGAACGTTTTTCCAGGGTTACTTTTTTTTTCTTTTAATTAAAATTTTAAAAACTATTGGGGGAAAATTTCCCTTTAATTTAAAAGGTTAGGGTGTAAATTTGCCCCCAAAGAATTTCCAAAGGGACTTTTGCAAGAAATATGGGAAATGGGTTTTTGTAAAAAATTTTAATGGGGAAAAAAAAATTTATATTATTTTTTCCGGGAAAAGGTAAAATTCAAGGAAAATGTTTTTAAAAGGGGACAAATTTGATCCAAAATTTTCCCAAAAAAAATTTCCCAAAGAAAAAAAAAATTTTTTTGGGATTAAAAGCTATAAATACCCTCAATCTGAACGTATAAACAACGTAAACTTACTGTCACTATCTGCAACCCTCCCAAACCTGTAATTCTCTCCAATACACTTATTAAAGCCATATAGTTATACGATATTCAGTTATCTTGTACTTACTGTAATCTCCTAAATTTACAACTACTGTTATTACCCTCTTAATCTTAAGTTAGTCGTAAGTTTGCCCAAAATGCTCTACATATTCAGGGACTTTCGGCATGTACACCTAATGTCATTCATTCTCTTTTGTACAACCACTGTATCATGCTGAAATAAAATATATATTATTACAGAAGGGATATAAATACACTGGAAAATGTACAAAGCAGGGTGACAAAGTTGATCCCATGTATCAGAAATCTTTCCCACGAGGACAGAATGAGGACCCTGAATCTACACTCCATTAACGCGGGACATTGTAGAAAATGTATATAAAAAGCGTTTCATTAATAATGTCAGTGACGGGGTTTGTTTTGAAAATGGACGCGTATTAGTCTTGAAGAGCAAGCAGAACAGAAGAGGTGTATCAGTACCAGGAGGGCGGCGGCTGAAGCAGCAAATTATAAGATCTCGTGGTTTGGTGTGTGAGAAACAAGATTGGCCCTAGTTTGGTGTATGTGGTATATTTTAAAAGCCCTCTAGACAGGCTGTTATCCCTAGGCGCCAGTACATATTTTTACATAATGTAATAACTTTACAACTCTAGAAAGGCGTAGAATTACGGGAGCTATGATTGAGGTGTATAAATGGAAAACAGGAATAAATAAGGGAATGTAAATAAATTGCTAAAAGATATTTAGCCAAGACAGCACTCGCAGCAAGGATATAGGAAAGGACTGGTTCAGTAATAAAATTGTGGATGAGGGAAACAAACTTTCGAGTAGCGTCTCATATATGTCGTTCCGAATAGGTAAAACTTGCGATTTTGGCTTAAATAGTAACGCTCTTCTTGCCAAATAAGGAAAGCGACAATTTGTGTATGCAATAATTTCGCAGAAATCATTCTGAACCTAACGAAAAGAATATATTTCATTGTGTTTGTTTATTATTAATTATTGTAAACTTATCTAAAATATATTTAGTTGGAGTAGGCTAAAATAAATTGCGCTTATTACAATAAGGTTAGGTAAGTTTTCTAAGGTTCTTTTGCTACATAATTATAATTTTTACATTACCATAAGTAAGAAAAATATATCTTCAAACGTACAAGAGAAAATTTTAGAAAGGACTTAATTTTAAATGAGTTCTTGCTAATTGACCAGTTTTACCTATTCGGCACGACATATATAGATATATATTACGGTATTTATCAAAAGCACTGGTCAATAGACAAGTAAATATCACAAGGATAAATTAAAACACGACGTAGAAGGGATGTGTATATTTCGGTACTAATCAAGGATTCTTCACCAGACAACAAATATTGTTCACTGCTGACTCGACAAACCTTTCAAGCCTCGTCTAGGGACATGCCTTGATGCCGGTGGCCTCTTTATCCAAGGAAGTGGACCTAACCTCTTATCTGGATCAAATTTGGTTTCATCTACGTCACTTTTCACTGTTTGCTCCACATGTGTTTAGCGCTTATGCATAATAATAATTAATATAATAATAGATAATTATTAATAATAATACCCCCCCAAATAAACATTTTGGATGTTAAGTTTCAGCTTAGATGATTTTGTCACTTGCTACAGTTCCTCTCTTGTCTCTTTCTCCTCCATTTTGGGTGTGACTTCTCTCTCTGGGTACAGTATGAGGTTCTCCTTAGTGGGAAGTGACGTCCAGAATTCCATCATCTGTGAGACGGAGAACAAACACTATAACTGAGTAGTAGAGGAGGTATAATATGTTAGTGCTCAACTTGTGTAATATTATACCAGCCTAGATGTAGTTGCTGGGGTCGACTCTCAACTTGTGGTTTTCATTTTTACTGACCAACACTCATCCTGTACTCTCCCAGAGCACTCTCATGACCATACTAGTTAGTGTTCACCCACTCAGAGGCGTGGTAAGGGCGGGGGCCGCCCCGGGTGACACCATTTAGGGGGTGACACCATAGAACCTCTAAAGAAGGTGACACTAATGACCAAAACCATGCTGCAGCACCCTAAGAGAAAAATTCTTCGTTTCTATATAGCCTATTATAGGATTACAAGTACAAACAGGCCTATATAGGGGAAATCATTGATTTTGATGATGTGATAGATGATTTTGTAGGATTGAAGGCAAGGAAATGATATATCAGATTCTTTGAAATGTTAACTGTACTCAAGGTTAAATCGGAACTAGTGTTTTTCTTTATTTTTCAATTTTTTTTTCATTGTTCAAGATGAATAAATGTAGGATCTGTTGCTATACTCAAAGTGGTGTTTGAGTTTATGTTTCCTCAATATTACTACGATTATTTATTTTATCATTATTAAAGTTCTGTTTATGGCCTTTAAACGTTCTCATTGCTAAACATTAGTCACTGGTCATGCAGCAGTGATGTAACGGGAGTTTACTACCCCATCCCCCCGCCCTTGGATTTCATGGGGGTGACACCAAAGATGCCGCCCCGGGTGACACCAACTCTAGCGACGCCTCTGCACCCACTGTTATCTTTGTGGGTCCTGTTCTATAAGTTCATACATACGCTTCAACCGTTTTTCTCTTCTAGTTCATTCCACTTTTTGACAATTCTAAGGCACAAGCCTTAGAATGGTCAAAAAGTGGAATGAACTGAAAGAGAAAACGACTGATGCTCATAAGTCGTCTGAGTGGCTAGTTTATTGTGCACTCCATGTTCATCCTGTCAGCGGTAACGCAAAAATAACAAAAAAAATTTCAAATGTCACCATGGGTCTTATCAGACCCCACCAGGCATAATTACATCACGAAAAAATGTATTACAGGAATTTATATATATTACAATTTCTTCATATAGCTAGTGAACACACTACAGTAGAGAGTTACAATTTCAAAAACTTTTAATTATCTTATTACTACTAAAATATTACTCTATTGGGCTGATGAAATATTTCCTGGCACCCATACGTCTCGTGTGCCTATTTAACTTCCATATATTCCTCTTACTCCTGTTTTTCGGAAATTTGAATAGACTTTTTCCTCCCCTCTATCGCCTCTCCTGTTTTTTTTTTTTTTTTTTTTTTTTTTGTAATCTAGTGTTAAGCCCGCGACTTGCCACATTATTCTTTCCACAATATTTAGTTTGTGGACCAGATGTGGACGACACCGTGCTGGCGCTGCATACTCTGTGATGGGTCTCATGTCTTGCATGGCTAAGGAAAACAAAGAGACCCCCACGGTCCATATCAAAGTTATTTGCTTTTAAGAACTAACTACAGTCCAGAGAGTTACTCACCAAGTCGTAATAACAGGCTGCAAACAAACCACGGAACGGTGGGATTTAAACCCATGACAAGTGAATCATAAAATTCCAGGCCAGTGCGTCACTCGACCTGGAGTTTTAGGACTCACCTGCATGGGTTCAAAACTCAGCTGTGCCGTGGTTTATAGTCTAGTATCCTCCAATTCCGTCTGCATAACTGAAATTTTGATTATATAATATGCATAAGGTTCTCTTCCTATTCTTCCCTCCCTGGCCACACCTGCTGGCTTATCAAAGTGGTCGAGCAACGAACATGACATACAGGAAAAATGCATAGATATTAATAAGAAAGGTGGGACCATAGTTGTCACAAATACTTGTTATAGCCAATAATTCTACTGTTTCTGGTTCCACCACAACCATGTCCTGTTTGGTCCATGGTCAACCTGAGGTAGTTCCTGAACTAAGGTCAGGGATTCATCGACCACACAAAGCCTCTGCATTATTATTATTATTATAATCAAGGGGGAAGCGCTAAACCCGGAGGATTATACAGCGCCTGGGGGGGGGATGTGGAAGGCATTCAGGCTTAATTCGGGGAACTGGAGCACAGATCCAATTCTCTAAATCAAGAGCCCCTCACCAACATCAAGGAACCTTCCTTGAGGGGAAAGCCTCTGCAGAGTTCCTAGAATGTGATATAAACAGGGCAAGTCTCGAGCCAGTTATTAAGGTTACTGGTTCACTGCTAACAGCTTAACCAGATAGTTTATATCAGTAATCTGTAGCTACAGTATCTCTTTCTGTGATTTATTAGTGATGATAAAGTTTTGTACCCTTTCTCTACAACCTCTAATTGCTTATCTTCGTCTCTTACGTAATTTAGGAACCAAAACTAGAGAGCATAATAATTAAAGATGCGGTTTGTCAAGTGTGGCAGAGTCGATTTGTTTTTTGTGATAATTTGTATTCTAAATTATTGTCTTTGCAACCGAGCATTCTCTTGGCTTTGTTGCTCGCAGACATTATTATTATTATAATCAAAGAAAGCGCTAAACCGACAAGGGTCATATAGCGCTGCGGGGCAGCAAATAGTGCGGAGGTTATAAACAGCTGGGTGGAGAAGGGATCAGAGGTGAGGGAAGAAAAGGGTTGGAAGGGACGCGAAGGGCTGTGTCAAAGTTCATATGAAAAGGCAGTTCTGATAAAAAGTCAAAAAGTGATTGTGAATCAAAGAAGGGTTCGTCTGCAAGTAGAGAAAATAAAGTGAGAGTGGTAGGGCAGCGGTGTCGTTGGAGGTAAAGCCTGCGAACTCGCTGGTAAACCGGGCAGTCGACAAGAAAGTGAAAAACCGAAATAGGGACCCAACAAACCTCACAGAGGAATAGGGAGTCTATTCATGAGACACCCATGGGTAAGGCGTGTATGACCAGTGCAGTGCCGAGAGAGCGCAGTCTCCCGAGAACGGCAACGATGGTAAGATGGCCCCAAACCTAAAAGTGGTTTAATAGAATACAATTTGTTATGGTGCATGCCTGACCACCATTGTTGCCAACGGCCGCAAAGACGGGCCGAGATAACTGGAAAATAGTCCCTGAATGGAATACCCCTATAAGAAACTGGAAGATCTTGTACCGCTGACCGTGAAGCAGCATCTGCTTGCTCATTACCCTGCACACCAACGTGTCCAGGGACCCAGTAGTAAACGACATCTTTATTTTTGATAGCCACACGGCGCAACCATTGTTGAATAAGGAGGACTAATGGATGAGGGGAATTAAACTGTTTAATGGCTTGTAAGGCACTAAGGGAATCTGAAATGAACACAAACGTCAAAGGAGACATATATGTAATGCGAAGAAGTGCTATGAGAATGGCATACAACTCATCAGTAAAAATACTAGCCGAGTCTAACAAGTGGCCTCGGACAACTTCAGCAGGGAATATCGCCGCGAACCCAACACCATCAGAAGATTTAGAACCATCTGTACAAATAGCAATGGCATGGGCATGTGACCGGAAGTGCTCGAGAAAAAGAGAGCGAGTAGCAGGAGTGGATAAGAAAGTTTTGGCGCATGGTAGGGAGGGGGGAGAATAGACATGAACCATCAGAACTTTTTCCAAATTACATACATAGGGGAAGACGAGCTAATGGTAGACACGTAGTCTCGCCAACAAGTGCGTTTAGGGTCATGTATGATGTGGCAAGCAACTACCCTTGCCCGCTTAAAATCCAACAGACGCTCCCAGGTACAATTATAATAACGGCCCCACACCACACGTTTCAAACGTACTGCACAGGCGCATGCAGGAGACCACCAAGGTACGCAAGTCTGAGAATGCCTACCTGAGGTTAGGGGGATAGAACGTGCCGCCGCAGTTAAAACTAAGATCGAAAATTGGTGTGCCAGTTCATCAATAGAGAACGAAAGGGGGCCTTCACAACCGGTGGTAAGATGAGAGTATAAGTCCCATTCTGCTCGTGCAAATTGCCAGCAAGGGCTATGAAGCGGTCGGTCATATGTAGTAGAAGTAAGAATAATAGGAAAGTGATCACTATCATGTAAATCTGGAAGAACAGACCAAGCAAAATCAAGTGCAACTGATGAGGAACAGATAGAAAAATCAATGCAGGAGAGAGACTGAGTGTGAGAGTCAAAATGAGTAGGAGTACCCATATTTAAAACATGAAGAGGATGAGAAGCGAGAAGTCTCCAACTGATCACCAAGAGAGTCATAGTGCGACTCTCCCCACAGATGATGGCGAGTCTTAAAATCACCAAACAACAAGATGGGCGGCGGTAGAGAAGGAAATAAAAATGCGATACCTGATATACAGAATGCCCGGGAGGAAGAAAGATATAGAGAGCAAACTGTATGCTATCTGTGTAAATATGAGCTGCAGTATATTGCAACAGAGAACAAACAAAAACGTGTTGATTCGATATATCAACGTGCACAAGAGGCGCGCTTTCATTAAATGATTCATCAGGAAAAGGATCGGAAGAGTGTAACAGCACATAGCCCGAGAAGGGGTGAATGATAGCAGAACGAATTTTGGGCTCTTGTAATCCAACACATCCTGGGGACAACTGGGAGAGCAACACTTGGAGTTCTCCCTGATTGCCCCTGAGGCCACGAATATTCCATTGTAAAATGGTAACAATAAGAAACGATAAAACTTATGGTCTTTTAGAATCAGTAAAGTCAATGTGCGGGGGCAACGGTAAGTGTGTAAGCAAGGAGGAATCAGAATGCTGCGTAGGAAAAGATTGTTGCGAGAGTCATGAAAAAAAAGGGGTAGAAGGAGGCGCTCTGGTGTCCATCGAGGGTATCGTCTCCATATTATAGCTGGAGATAGCGTCTAACGTCTCAGCAGTTAAGGAAGCTGATGATACCATGATGTCAGAGGCAGGAGAGATAGAGCAAGTAGAGGTCGGAGTAACTATGGAGGCAACCAAAGAG